ACATCACGTAAATAAGTTACCTAAAATGTTTGAAAACCAGCTTAAAAAAGACTGTGACATGACATCATGTCACACGGTCCCACGTGGCCGAAAGAGTGTGGTATGACATCATACCACACGGTCGTCAACGTGTTAAAATCCATGTTTTCACGTCATTCCATGAAATTCTCGAAAGTGCTTGTTCGTTATGCTTATGAGAGAAATTTCGGCTCACGTAATAAGAAACCCAGTCAATAAAATGAGAGTGAGCTCAGAATGAGGAACTTCTTCAAAAAAATCCTGAGAACGTGCCAAAAACCGTTTTTCGATGTCACGGTGGTGAAAGCGTTCAGGTGTGGATTCGACGAAATAGCGGATAACCATGAGTTCTGCTGGACAACCGCATCTAAAAAAGAAAAATCGACTCGTCAAAAATTTAGTGTAATAAGTTTTGACTTATTTGTGATTATTGAGTTGTTTTTGACCGCAGTTCCCCTTGCGAAAGTTTTACAAGGATGCTGGGCGGTGGACAAAGCTTTTGCCCCATACGAGACTCCAACTGCTCGAGCCCAGCCTGGGGCAAAAGTTTTGTACACAACCCAGCATTTTCGTCAATCGTGTAACGCTCGCAATGTGGCTCGAAGAGAGCCAGTCGCCGCGGACATTAGCAAACCAGCCCTTTTGGAGTTTCTGCTGGGACCGTATGCTTGATATTGGGGAGGGATAGGGGTCTACGGACAACTTGAACTCGGTCCTTTAAACCGCTTCGATTTGATGCTTCGCCTGCGCTCTCTCGCCTGAACAGCGGCTTATGATTACTGTGATCTGATGCATTCAAACTTTGCCACAATATGATTGGCTCACCCACTCCGGAGCCCCTCCTCCCTCCAAGGCTTAGTCCTAGGGCTCTCACCTTCCTGCTTGGGATTTGGAGCCGAGCCAGGCGCCGTTCTCTAATCGTCTGTGCTCTGGCCTTTCTCGGCAGAGAACACAGGGGAGAGTTCAAGTAGTCACGTAATCGAGATAGAGTCCCCGATGGTCAACGGACTACTACAACTCGAACCTTAACCCTTTCGGACCTGAATTTTTCCGTGGAGAAATTTTTCTTCTAGCTATTTTATTACTTGTGAGCATATAAGTATCATTATGGCGAAATTTGGAAGCTATTCGATCACAAACAAAGAAACTAAGAAGCTTTGAAAATTGGCCCACCTTCTTAGTTTTTAAGCTTATGTCGAAACAATTCAAATTTCATAGTTATGCCGAAAAAGTTTATAATCTTGCACAACATTATAACCCATAATTTTGATTTAGGAATGGATCTACTTCAAGTATTTTAAGAAAAAGTGACACTTACTTGGCCGGTTGCGGGGACCAGCGCCGATTCATTGTTGCACTTGTACACAAATACTTGTAATACTAACAGCAACACACAATGAAATGGCAGGTTTAGCTCATAATTAGGAAGGGGAAGGTTGACTGAAGCAACCTCTAGCAGGATTAGAAAAACCATGCTGTTTCAGCGGCAATGCAAAATTTGAATTTGATGGTGGCAATTGCCACCGCCAGGGCCGAAAGGGTTAAAAAGAGGTCCTGACCGAGTGTAGGGAACGTTACTGATCGACTTCTTTCGAAAAACATGAAGTCAGAGTTAGCTGCAGGTTTCACTAATTTTCCTCTACTCCAGATGCCATTTTGCAAGCCTTCGATTCAGTGAATGTGAATGAATATAAAAAAGATAGAATAGATTTCATAAGGCTTACAACTACATTGAGTGATTGCATTATTGTGTGAAAAATTCGGATCTCTGGAAAAAATCCTTTCAAAAAAAACTTTTTATCGGACTACCGAAGAAATTATTCGATTAGTATGCAGTCCTATTTACTATTACCGACCGGTTCTGGTAATTTTACGAAGCTTCCGAGATGAGGTAGGAACTTCAAATTTCCTACGCCAAAATTCAGATCAACAAGTCAAATCACGTTGCAACTGCACTTGTGGTTAGACAAAAACCGAGCAAAGCAAACTAGCCCTTTTTGTTCGAGAGTAAACGCAGAGAGGGTGCAAACATGAACACAATGCAGGGCGGAGTAATTTTTTGTGAATTTTACACTAGAGTTTACTATAGTCCATTATTCGTCTTTTTTGTTGCTCTGTCTCTCTGATTCTTTGACAGCACGCAAGGTGCGAAAAAAATGGAATGGGGTGCTATGTGTGGAGCGGAGAAAGGAGGTGTGCAGAAAAGGAAAGATATAGTTGAAATTAGAGGTTACGGAAGCACGGGCTCCTGATGCATTGCCGAAGTGAACCAATTCCGGTTAGCTGCCGAATCTACAATGGGAAAACTAAAGGGGCTTCGGGCAAGAGATGAAGAAACGTTTGTGAAAGCATAGCACAGCTTCCTCTGAACACCAACATCGAGTCTGCAGCACAGCAGGAGCATTCCAGCGGCACCTCTTCGATCTAGGCAAGCATAAGCCCAGATGCCGGGGGTGCTTGCTTATGTAACCACTTTCTCATTGTGGTTTGTCGGATGTACGTAGATTGAGGATATGTAAAAAGATATGGTAATTTCAAACACAAACTAGATCACCAAAGGGCTGTGCAGCTTCAATGGAGCCAAATCACACTAGGACAGAAAAAGGAGAAATTACCGTGGATGGAAAGTAATATTTCTATGGAATCTCTATACTAGTGTTTACAACACGCAGAAGGGCACGATGCGTGATGCTAAGACAAAATTGGTTGTTATAGTGCATCTTATTCTTGGTCATTTGAAGTTGCTGTTCTAAAGGTTCGGAAATCAACGGGCTAGAAAGGGGCCCCATTTCTCTGGTTTGGGCCGTTTCTCATAGTTTTTCTTTTTTTCTTATTTCACTGATCATCCCTAACTTGCTTTAGAATGGAGCTGCCTTTTCAGCGGAAATTTCGCTTTCAATGAAAAAATCGTCCGTTGCTCTTATTTTGAAGAGCGCGCCGCATTTACCGAACGGTGCTCCGAGTAGCAAAGAATTCGAAAGTGACAAGAATGCGACCAGACTTTCATATATCATCGCTATTTCGAACCACGAGCTTCATATTTCAATGAGCACGAGCAAACCTATTGTTTCAGAGGAAACTCGATGCTTTCAGATCAAAATAGAACGCAAGAAATTGACGGATTGACTGGGTTCCAAATATGTGAAAAAATTGACAAAAGGAACGTTTCATGTTCGGAGGCTCCTGGTAGAGGAGTTTTGAACGCTCTCTATTGGAAGCATTCTGAAAATCTTATGCTTTGATAGCACATATGGAGAAAGGAAATGGGAACAACAGTACCCTATTGAAACAAAATAAGTTGAAAAAAAGTTGTACTATTTTTAGTCAGCTCCTACCTCCTAGTATCATTTTATTTATTTTTTATATCATTTTTATCATTTTTTTATTTTTTTGCGCTCTGAAGTGTACAGCGTTTTCTTCAAGTCCTCATAATTCGGGCCAGGGAAGTATTAATGAGCCGGAAAAAGGTGGATGGAGGTGGGTGAAAGAGTGGAGCCAAACTAATATTGGGGGATGGATAGTGGCGGGCTGCCTCTGAACGTTGGGTCCCGCCACTATTGAGTCGCTGGTACATAGTTCGACTCGCTGGTACATCGTTCGATTCGCTGGTGCAAGTTCGATTCGCTGGCGCAACGTTCGATTCGCTAGCGAATCGCTCGATTCGCAAACTATGACGTCGGCCTATGAGGCGGGAGAGCGCAATAGATGGTAATAGCGCTAGGGAACAGCCTGCTGCAGACGGGGAGGATTGGAGCTGTTGAAGCTGTCTCGACATTCCCTCATCGAAGCTTTGCCATGCAAATGGAGTGCAAAATCTGTAATTTTCCTCTGGGAATCTCTACCAAAATAATCGTTCACCTTACTCTGCCTGGTTGTGCCTTTAGGGGTGCCTTTGGGAATCCATTCAACTTTCTTCACACACTGTACAATCAAGTCAATGCCTCTAATTGACGGCTAATAGTTTTTCTACAATATTTGATAATCCATATCCCGATACTTTTATTGGAATTGCAAAAAACTCCACAACTGGTCACACAGTGGATTTCGCGAGTTTGTTTTTCACAAATAGTAGGTTTTATGGCTCATTCTCCGAGCGCATAAAAGCCGATGATCTCTTTATCACCATCACGTCTTCCAAAATGTCGACGAGGGCTCTTTTGCAACTATTCATTGTTTTGAATTTGTTTGTAAGTCTGCACTTTGTAAGTTGCTATTTCTCTTGTTGTGGGTGAGAACTAGCTGATTTCAGAGGTGCACCTTAACACAAGCTACGTCAGATACATCGGCCGCGACGACCGCTGCGTCTACAAGTGCAACCACTGGATCGACCTCAGCGGCGACTACTGGATCGACCTCGGGTGCTAGTACTGGATCGACCTCAGCGGCGACTACCTGGATCGACCTCGGCGGACCACATTGACGACCTCGGCTTGCTATACTTGGATCATGACCTCGGCGCCCCAATTTACGCGGGATCCGACCTCGCCATCAGTTCTGGATTCAAGCACCAACGGGCAGGACAGAATCGACCGCAACAGGCGCCAGCTGAGCTCGTCTACGGCGGCGAGTAGTGGTCACGAATCCTCCTCGTCCTCAGAAGCTTCTACGACGACCGCAGAAACCACACCGCCTGCTAGCCCTGGTTCGTTTTCGTGCATTCTACATATACCAGATTAGTCCCCCGTCAACCGCCGGGACCTTCCTTTCCTGCGCAAGCTTTCTATCCTCCGCTATGGTCCCTTTCCTCCTGTGACACCAACACCTCCTGGAAGTGACGCGTATGCAACACAATGGTGTTTCATACAGTAGAAGGGACACAATCATGATATGACGGTAGATTTTTCGCTTCCCTTCCTCATCCTCCCTTCCTCTCTCCACTGCCCTCCAGCTGCCACTGCAGCACCATGTGGAATGAACGGAAGTGTGCTAAGCAGGTGTTTATATAGCCCTAAGAGTGTTATCACAACTATCCTGCTACAAAACATTGATATCTCAAATCCTGTAAGCTACCCGATTTGTTAGCGGTTTGTTTATCCCATGAGCTTCCTTCTCACTCACTTCATTTTGCGGACGGACACACATACATACATCACACACACACACACACACACCACACACACACACATACAGATACACAAACCGACACACAAAGTTAGCGCTTTATATAATAGAAGGATATTGGGTAGATAGACACCCAACGTCTCCCACCACGCACCGCTTATCAAAATTATTCCTAATAGAGCAATTTCAACTTAGAATTGACCAGCTCTAAAGGTATCGTGCACGAAATTTCCTTAGAGGGCACTTCCCTCCACTAAAATACCGAGTGAGTTCAGTCATCTTTTGTTTCAGACAACAAAATCTGCCCTTCAAACTCTGGCATGACAGATAAGCTTAGAGTAAGATCACATGAGGCACACAACTTCCGCAGGTGAATTTCAGCAGAGCGAGTTTGTTTTAATATGAAATACGCTCTGGAATGACTGTTCACTGTATCATCATTTTAGAAGCCGCCTGGCGCAAGGAATGGTTAAGAATAAAATGGGGCGAACACTTCCGCAGGCGACCAACATGTACAAGCTGGTAAGCTTAAAAGTATAAGTATTCTGAATATTCATTTTAAGCCAGCTGTCTGTAGCGCAGACTTCCAGGAGTTTGCCGAAGACCATCTATTCAAATAATTCCATCCCTGTGAGCATCCAATATTAAGTGGAGCATGATGGCAGTTTCACCGAAAGGCCGTCAGACTTCGCGAATAGCGCGATTCGCAAAGTCTGACATCGGCCAAACAAGGGGCGCATCAAATCTTGGCTATCTCTCTATAGAAAGCAGTAGCTTGGTGTGTTTGTACGCCTGTCTGTTTGTGATCAGTAGGGTCGCTCGTACGTTGACCCAAGAAAACAACTGGGACATGGTACCGATGGGTAGAATATGGACTTCGAGGAGTTTGGGTTGAGGGAAATGCTTGGTTAGAAGCGGGTGCAGTACTGGGCCGGGCCCGGCTCGATGGGCGGGGCTAACCTCTAAAATGTCTATAAAAATATCTGTTTTCACGCAAACAGCTCAAATGAAGTTGGAAGTCATTGGCTGGGTGTTGAAGTTGAACTGAAATTTTCAAAGGGTAACATGTTATCGATCGGAATGAATTAAAAAATATCGATTTTAGTGCAGAAGGCTTGAATGAATTAGGGATCGTAGTATTGACTAGGTGTAGTATGTAGTAGAAGTGGCCATCGGGTCACATCCTATCGATTTAAAAATAGATTTTCGCGTAGAAATCTCGATGAGATGGGATTATAGAGTATTGACCGGTCGATGCGACTGTTAGAATTAGGAACTAATTGGACTAAATAAGACCGTCCTCATTGTTGCGAAGGATAAAGCTGCCGAGCACAGAACACTTCACTCTTCCACTGCATTTGCTTTAGAAATTTGAAAATTCATTCTGACTAGTTTTTAATCGCTTACTGTCGCGGCTGTGCAACTGGTAGCACACATGCCTGATAAGCGGGAGATATGGGAGAGAAGTCCGTCTCGAGCGGGAGGTTTTGCTCCATAACTCAATATTTTTGTGCTAAAAAAATCAATATACTGCTCAATCTAGTAACGTTGAGTTTACTGGTCCACTATGCGTCAGTGAAGAACTGCGATACTATAATATTTTGGCAGGCCCTCTACTCACTTGCAAAATATCCATTGCAGGTGTACAACTGCACTCTGGAGAAATCCGCCATGGATTCTGCTAACAGATGCTCCACAATTCAAGATCCAAACCTTCCCTCTGGTGTCGGAGAAAACAATTACTTCTTTTCGAAAGATGGTATCAGCTCTGAGGTTGAAGCACTGATATATGTAAGTTGAGGCGATGCATATGAAAGACCAGATTTATTCTTAAACCGTTAAATAATGTGTAGGCTGTGAAATACTGGTGGAGCTCGATACGAAAGTATGGTGGAATGGGTCGCCATGTTACTTACACATTGTACAATGAGCTCACACCGACAAAATACTTTACCCAGGTTAGCTCGTTTCAAAGGCAGAATTTACGATGAAAATTAGCTCTATTGGAAATAAGGGTAGAGGTGGTCAGTGGAGCAGGGATGAAGAAGAAACCATTTGAAACGGCCCGAAACCCGAGAAATGGGCCCTTCCTTTGATTTGCGCATTGATGCGACTCTCATCGCTGTGCCCTCTTCAACACTACGCTCTCTCTGCTATCTAATCACTCGCCACGTATAGACCTGCGGCGAGTGATTAGATGGTCGGTGGGCGTACCCCGCCAACCGCGCCAAGAGTGAGCCATGTATTTAGATCATCTCATTATTATGTGATCTTCTATCTCCCGCCTCGCAATCCATTTTGTAGACAGACGTTGGTGCATACCGAGCGTGTGAGCGGAGGATCCGTGCCCTGCTACCACAAAATACTATGGTAATTTTTTTCCCCCTTTGCTTTAACCTTCTTTCTTTATTCGTGATGAGCTCTCACGTTACGTGTGTTTTCGCGCACAGAAGCCTTTTCTCAGTCTCTCCATTCTTAATTGATGGCGCGTGAGGTTATCCGCGATGAAGTCTCTACGGAAAAGGCAGTGGGAAGAGGTGAAATGTGGCTAGTTGTAAGTTAAGGCTGATTTTCGCCTTCGCGGTTTAAGGGTCGCTGGGGTAGTTGGGCAGTGGTAGGTCATTCTCCAGATACAAACTCAGAAAGTCCAATCACTCCGTTAAGCGAGAGAACTGTGGAGGCTAGCACCGTCAGGATGTGCTCACTCCGTGTGATTGCAGGGGAACGCTAGCAAGCGCCGTTCGCGCCTCTGCACGCCCGCCGAAAACTAAACCTACATATTGTCTGACTCCAGTGGTTCAGAGAATGATTGAAAAGGGCAGCACCGATGAGAGTCGCACTAATGCGGAATTCAGCGGGCAAAGAAGTGGTCCCGGTTCTTGAGTTCTGAGCCGTTTCTCATAGATTTTCTTTCATTCCTTCACCACTAGTCACCTCTACTCTGATTCTAACGGGCTGTCTTCTGATCATGATCCTCTCCTTCAAGACGTGTTGAAAAAGTGTTGCTGTCATTCTGAGAGGTCAACCTTTGCAGATGGCATGGGCGACTACTCAACACTTTGGCTGCGCCGTTGTGTCATGTGGGAACTATTGGTCTACTGTGTGCCACTACAGCCCCAAGTTGGTTTGCTTGGAGCTTTATTTATTTATTTATTTTTTGCTTATGAGGTGAAAATGGCAACTTATTGGAGACTTCATATGAGGCTCTCAGCATATTTGTTGTTACATTGCCTCTACCTGAAGAAACCCTCGATTTGCCCAAGACCTTGGCGTTTTCGCTCTTCTCTGAGAGATACTTTGACAATGCATTGGGTTGACACTGATACTTTGACAATATATTGGGTTATTCGGAAAAGTTTCTGCCGTTTTTAGTAACTCAGCTTTGCAACGCTATATTACTGAATTACTTCTTAGAAACTGCTACCACCTCACATATCAGTAGGGAGCGCGATTCTCGCTCTCTCTTAATCTGCTGCTGTTTTAACCCTCAAGCACTTCTCTACTCCTTTTTTGAAGTCTTGAGTAGAACGTATTCAACAGGCCATTATGTACGGGTTTCCTGTTTCCTCTCGACCAAAGTTGGAGGAAACAGGAGGAAACAGGAAACTTCATTCTAATCGTGAATTCCTCCTTTAAGGAGCAGTTCAGCAGTTCCATGCCGAAGCAAGTCAGGATATCAACTTAGCATTTGGTCCCGAATAAACGAAAATTCGATGTGCAGTCGTGATTCAGAATGTCTTTCTCGCAGTGATAGAAACTTCGAAGAAGATTAAGATAGAGGACGGATATCGGAGGCTGACAAAGATCAACTCAGGTCTGCATGGAACTGCTGTTCTGGCCGCTCCTTAAAGGAGGAATTCACGATTAGAATGAAGGTCGAAGAAAGGGAAACTGACCTAGTTGAGGGACCCACGGACCTCCTGAGGGTGCGAACTGACGCGCAATTCGCATGGAAAAATTTGACCTCGGCGACCTATCATGCCTCAAAGCTGGCGGGTCCGGCGATCTCCGCCCACCGATCATCTGATCACTCGCCGTAGTTCAATACGTGGCGAGTGATTAGATAGCTGAGAGAGCGTAGTGTTGAAGAGGGCACAGCGATGAGAGTCGCATCAATGCTCAAATCAACGGGCAAGGAAGGGGTCCCATTTCTCGGGTTCTGGGCCGTTTCTCATGGTTCTTCCTTCTTTCGTGTACCACTCACCATCCCTAGGTTAATTTGAAATGGGTTGCTTTTTCATCGTGAATTCGTCCTTTAAAGCGAGAGATTACGATAAAGTGTGTATGCAGCGTGGAAGTACATGCACCATTGGAAGCAGTAGTCAGGGGCCCAAGGAAACGAAATGTTGCGCCAAAGGTGCGCTAGTTGCAGCGTACAAGGCTTGCCATTCCTTTCTGAGCTCCGCCACGGTCTGTGCTCCGCCCCCAGCAGCAGCGCCCTTCGATTATCATTTTGATGAGGTATTCCGCTTCGAGTGCGTATCCTATAACTTTCCCATGGAACGCGTTACCAATCAAAGCACCTTTGCTGGTATGATGGTGGCTATGGTTTAACATGTGCAAAAGACCTCTTATTGGTTGCTAGCTCGTCCATTATCGGAGGTCAACGGGCAAAGAAAGGGTCCCATTTTGCGCGTTTTGACGGATTTCTTTGCTTTTTCGCCACTGGGGCATTATTCAGCATCCCCACTTCCACCATGAACCCAGTCCAAGTCTTATCGTAATCCCTCGCTTCAATTAAGCGTACCTGAGAAGGGGTTCTCAAATCTATAGGTGTCCAGAGAGCGTTCAAAGAAGTCGACGAGTGGATGCCGCCGACTCTTTTCCCCGCAGTTGCGCAGCCCCACCTCGCACTTCCAATCGTGCACAAGTTGAACTAGGTGAGCTACAAAATGTGCTGTGATTATCTTGCACAGTAGACCTCTTGGCTACCATCTGCCACACTTTTCCAGCCCTTTTTCTGGATAGTCATTTCGTAGAGATGAAACGTTGAAACCAACACGGTAGTGGGAGGACCTCCGCCAAGTTCACCTACAGAACTCCAAAATTCCACTATCCAGATCTGTTCATTCACTCTCCTTTGAGTGAATATATAGGGATTGCAGTACCTTTTAATTCAATCAAAATGTTTCGTTTAAACCGAC